AAAAGAAGTAATAATTTTTAACAAAGTTTTGGCTTTCCAGTAAAACCTCTTAACTTTATATCCATTTATTATATGTATCCTTAACATAAATCAATTTTTTTTTTCCTTTTTGTCTTTTTTACTGACCAGTAACGGGATCGCAACCCTCGTTGTCGCGCCCGCACCGCGCTCAGCCAGTGAGCGGGAACCGGTCTCCACATGGGATCCGAACCCTCGGCGGGAGCGCCGCCGCACTCCCAAGCGGCACACTCTCCAGTGCGCCACCGGGCCAGCCCATAAATCAATTTTTTAAAAATACTTTTTCTTTTTTTTTTTTTGGTCTTTTTTCGTGACCGGTAAGGGGTATCGCAACCCTTGGTGTGGCGTCACCCGCACCGTGCTCAGCCAGTGAGCGCACAGGCCATTCCTATATAGGATCTGAACCCGTGGCGGGAGCGTCACTGCGCTCCCAGCGCCGCACTCTCCCGAGTGTGCCACAGGGTCGGCCCTAAAAATACTTAGTTTTTAAAAAAATTTTACAGCTCTAGTCCCAAGAAATACAACTCAGAGAGATAATAATGGCATGAATTTCCTTACAGACCTTGACTAGACTTGGAGTAATCAACTCCCTAAGATATCTACATGTCTGAGCTGATGAGCAACATAATAATATCATGCTGATACTGGGGCAACCCCAGGCTTCTCGAACTTTTATACCAGCCAGTAAAGGTTTTGCCTAACATTCTGGACCTCGTAAGATCACTGTGCAAGTGAAGACTGTAAAGACCTTTTCAACTACTTGTATCCATGTACCTGGTAGCAAATCTATGCCTTTCTGCCTAGGCCACAAATACTAATTCACATACTGTCTACATAGATTCACTGAGGTGGCACTGGTCATGATCATAGCCACTTGATTAGTCTATTTATAATAAGATTTCTCTGGTCTGAAACATTTTCTTGAAACTGACATCCAGGCATGATGCTAAAAATATAATAAACAAATCAAAAAACCACACCTATTATAAAATACTTAAATGGAAAAAAATAACAAATTCATTTAAATATAAGGAGAACAAGAAGTAGCACCTTTTAAAATTTTAGTAATGAAGCCACTGAACCTTTAAAAGTGAAAATTACAGACTGTATTTTTTGGTTTATGCAAAGATTGAAGAGACAATCAAGGAAGAAAAGCAGTTCAAGACACAGCTGGAAATCCTACTCTCTTATCACAGTTTGGATAACCACAGTGGCTTCTTATGGCTAAGAATCACTTGGTTGTTCTTAGTTTTATAAGTGGTTCCCTTCTCCTCTCTCCTGTATTTGCAATATTTCAACCAAGCCCCATTAAGGCATGACAGCCTGAAGTGGAGAACAAGACCAGAGTTAACACAGACTGCCCAATGGCACTATCATTTGATACATCACCAGATAATAAAATGAAGAGAGACAGGAACAGAATCTTAATGCATTTAGTCTGTGTCATCAATAACCTTGGCCCCAGACCTTCCATACTCATTCCCCACCCACAAAACCCAAGGTAACAAATAACTAAATAATAATCTTCACCCAGTTTCCCAAATTTGCCCTTTCCTAAGAGTCACTTGGGGTGCTTGTGAAAATAGAACTCCATATTTTAACTGGTTCTTGTTTCCCCTGTTAAACTTCACCCAGCTGTGATCTGATCAAGATGAGTTTGGAAAGCACCAGTGGAAGATGAAGAAGGCCCTGAGGGGTGGCTTCAGACTGGGCTCAGGAAGTTTAGTAAGGCCCGAGCCATTTCTCACTGGAGCACCCCAAACTCCTCAGAGTCCACCTGGGATGTGGGGACTTGGTATACTCTGATGCCCAAGGTACCTCAGTGCCCCCAGATGAGGGTCTATCCACCAGGCATTCTCAGGCTTGCAACACACTGCTTTGACCAGGGTAGACTCAGGGCTCTGGGCACCAGCACAGGGGTACAAATACTCTTAGAGGTCATGGCATCCCTGGCTTCTATCTCTGACTGCACTTGGCACAGACTGCAGGTCAAAAGGCTAACTGTATCAACAGAACTAGGGCACATGTACCAGGCAGCAGAGCAGAGGTGCTCCTGAGCCCTTGGTTTCTATCTCTGCCCTCAACGCATGCAGCTTTTTAAAGATGCCCAGAACACAACCTGGGTGGATGCTTACTCATAGCTATTTGCTGACAGCAAAGCAAAATCCTACAGAACTCAGTTGCCTAAAATGTTTTACTTGTGGACCATTAAGAGCCATCATTCTCAGACACTTGTGCTACTTAGAAAAAGTTCACACATACAGTAACAAAATCTAACAGTGAACATTTACTATGGACTAAAATTTATGCTAAGCACTTCACAGGCTTTAACTCTCTTATTCACTCATCTCACAAGTTTTTACCAGGAGTGCAGTACTTCTGCAGGTGCTCAAGAATGTCTTGGTGAACAAAACAGATACAAATTCTGTCCCATGGGCCTTACAATCTAGCGGAATAGAGAAAAGACAATAAAAATCATACACAAACTATATGGGATGTTAGAAGGGGACAAGTGATAAGGAGAGCAAGCAGGGAAAGAGGCATGTGGGAGGAGGGAATAGTCTACAACTCTAAATGTGGTGCCGAGGGCCTCACTGAGGAGGTGCGATTGGAGCAAAGCCTTAAAGGAAAGGCAGCAAAGGGCCATGTGGACATCAGGGAAGAGTGTTCCAGCAGAGGAAGAGCCAGTACAAGATTTCTAAGTCAGCAGTATGCCTGGGGACAGCCAGGAAGTCCATGTGGCTAGGCAGGGAGTGAAAGTGATAAGGCCAGAGAGGCAACTGAGGCCAGACTGGAAGGGTCTGAAGAACACTGAGAATTCTGGCTCTCCCTCTGAAAGAATCAGGGACCACTGGAAGATTCTGAGTATACTAGCACAGACTGTGAGAGAAATTAGGAATCTTTTGCCAGAATCCAGGTGAGAGATGATGATGGCTTAGACCATGGAGGTGACAGTAGAGGGAAGAGCGATGCTCTGATTCTGGACATAGTTTGGGTTATAAGGCTGCGCTCTAAACAACTGAGCTAACTTGCCAGCTACTTGGACATTTGGAAGTAGAGCCAATGGGTTTTCTCAAGCAATTGAACAGATCTAAGATAAAGAAGGTCTAAGAATGACTCTAAGGTTTCTGGAGGAGGAAATTGCCAATAATTGGGATAGGGAAGGCAGATTACACACAGAAAAAGTTTGGGAAATGAAGGAAATCCTGTCCTGCACAGTCTTAGAAAATTCAATTATCGAAATGGAGATGTTAAGTGGGCAACTAGATATATGAGTCTAGAGGCAGAGGAGAGGAACGGGCTGGAGATACAAATTTGATAGTCCTTGGCACTGAGCTCTGAGCCACACCACCATTTACAAATCCAGGGAGAAGAGAGGAGCCAGCATAGGAGATGGAGGAGGAGCGGCCTGGGAGAGAGAAGACACAAGAGTTTGGTGCTGGGGAAACCAAAAACAACACCCCAGAAGAGGGAGTGCTCGACAGTGCCAAATGATGCACAGATCAGTTCACGTCGGATCAGGACTGAGAACCGACTGGATTGGCGACTGTCACTGACAGTTGGTAATAGTCACTGACCACCTCGATAACAGCTGCTTTGGTGGAATGTAAGGGTGAAAGTCTGACTGCAGGGTTTAAGAGCGCCTGGGAAGAATGAAATTTAAGAACCTGTAAGCTAGATATGCATTATTATTCCAAACTTACAAATGAAGAAACACCATCAAAGGGGTCACTAGCCAGGCCATGATAAAGCTGATGATCTTGGCACAACAAACATGTATATCCTTTGTGGATCCATCTGAGAGGTAGGATGTAAAGAGAGAAAGAAGAGATACAGAGTGTTCAGGTCAAGGAGACTTTAAACATCCCACTATTTGTTCCCATAGCAAGAAGACCTTCTGAAGGAAGAAAAGAGTTCGGGTCATGACTGATGAAGGAACCAGAAGCCAAGAAGCAGGGGTGGAAGTCAAGTCTTAGGGCAGGGAAGGTAGCAGCAGCACCACCATCTTGTGCCCTATTGTCCCTAAATGTGTACATTACCAGTTTATCCAAACACTCAAGACATTCAATCACCAACCCTAACTCTTCAGGCACTGGTGCTACATGGAGCCTATGGAGCCAGTCCTCTTGGTTCTTTAATTGAATACTTCTCACAAGTCTTATTTCTTACCCACACCTGTTGAAACCTTGCAGTCCCACCCACAGAGCCTAACTTCCACAATAGAGAGAATTCAGAGGGCACAGAGATGAGAGGGCTGGATCAGCAAAGATGAGCCCTAGAGCCCAGAGTGACATGCACACCTGGGCAGCATCCCCACACCCATCTCAAACGAAGTGCTGCCTTTCCCAGTGCCATGACCTGATGCCACAGCCATCTTTCCAATGCACTCCAGTGCCATACATGAAGAGGCATTGTGAGATAAGAGGAGCCCAGACCTCAAAAGGAGGGAGACTTGGATTTTGGTGCTGGCTCTACAATCAAGAGCTGTGTGAAAACAGGCAAGCCCCTTCCCACGGGCTCCAAAGCCTCACCTTCCAGAGTCTCAGCTTCTTCTATGAACAAAAATATACAGTGAAGAGATCCAAAGAATGAGTTCTGGAGTAAGGCTTCCTGGGGCTTCTGTTCATTAACTATGTTAACTTGAGTTAAATTATTTAGCTTCACAAAGCCCCATTTTTATTGTCTGTAAAATGGAAATGACAATAATTCATATCCCATGAAGAACTGTGACAATAGTGCCTAGCAACAGTCTGTACTCTCTATTACCTATTATAATGTTATGAGAGAGTTGTTGTAAAAGATGCACTTAATAACTAATTTCCCCACTCAAGACATATTAACAAACTTCTGGTAAAGATGTATACCAGACTGGTTGAAATAATGTCAAAAGTAAAGAAAATAACAATTTAGTTCGACAAAGAAGCCAGAACAATCCAAAAATTAACAACAAAAAATGAAATGTTATGACATACTAGATGTACCTTGAACAGGGATTTCCCCATAGTTTGTTCTCTTATCTGACAGGGCCGTCAGAGGTTTGGATGTTGAGACTGGTCCACTTATGGAATGTCTCTGAAATCATAAGATAAAAAGTATCAAAATTAGGTTAAATCTAGTGTTGGGATTCATAAAGAAAGTAAATGTTGCAGAGAGTAAATATTTAGCTATGAATTTGCATAATTCCTTCCATACTGCTGTAGTAAGGTTGTAACACATACATACTACAAGCATAAAATGTGACTGATATACTTTTTAAAAAATTAAACTTATTATGAGGTAATTGTAGATTCACATGGCAGTTGTAAGAAATAATATAGAGAGATCCTGTGTGCTCATTACTGTTTCTTCCAGTAGTAGTACCTTGTAAATCTACAGCAGAACCACAATCACAGGATACTGAAATTGATATAATCAAGATACAAAACACTTCCATCACCACAAGGATCCTGCCTGTGGCCTTTTTATATAGTCACATTCACCTTTCCCCCTCATTGTGCAGGTCTTACACACATTTTGTTAAATTTATTGCTAAGTACTTCAATTTCAAATTGTCCATGCTAGTATACAGAAATACAAAAGATTTTTGTATAGTGTCCTTATATCCTGTAACACTGCTCAACTCAAGCTTTTTTGCGGATTCTTTAAAATGTTCTACATGAGTGACCGTGTCATCTGCAAATAATGACAGTTTAACTTCTACATTTCTAATCTGTATGCTTCCATTTTTTTGCAGGGGAGAAGAGGGGTCTTACCACACAGTGCAGGAGCTCCAGCAAAATAAAAAAAGTAGTGAGAGTGGATACCCTTGCCTTATTCCCAATCCTAGAGGCAAAGCACTCAGTCTCTCCATTAAGTATGATGTTAGCTGTAGACTTCCCAGAGATCCCCTTTAGTAGGTTGAGGAAATTCCCTTCTATTTCTAGTTTGCTGAGAGTTTTTACCATGAATACATGCGAAGTTTTGTAGAATTTTTCTCTACAGATATTGAGATTAATGTCTTTTTTTCTCCTTTATTCTTTTGAGGTAAATTTTAACCTTGCGTTCCTGGGATAAACCACACATGGTAACGGTGGATTATCATCTTTATACATTGCCGTATTTAATTTGTTAATATGTTCTCTAAAGCTTGTATCTGTATTCATGAGGGACACCAGTTAGCAATTTTTTTTGGTAATGTATATCTGGCTTTGCTATCAAGGAATGCTGTCCTCAAAAAATGAACTGGGAAGTCTTCTTTCTCTTATGTTTTCTGAAAGAGTTTGTGTAGGATTTATATCTCCCACAAAGGTTTGATTGAATTCACTAGTAAAATCACATGGGCCTAAGTATTGCTTTTGTAGGAAGGTTTTTTATATTAAACTTTTACTTTGAAATAGTTATGGAAAGTTGCAGAGACACTACAGAGAAGTCCTAAGTACTCTTTATCCATTTTCCCCCAATGGTCTGCAGATGATGAATTCCCTCAGCTTTTGTTTGTCTAACAAATTTTAATTTTACCTTTTTGGGGGGAAGATATTTAATTCTAAATTGACAGCTGTTCTTTCAGCATTTGGAAATGTCATTCCATCATCTTCTGACTTGCACAGTTTCTAACTAGAAGTCTGTGTTAATTCTTACCTGGCTATTCTTAATAGTTCATCATCATCACCAGTTTTCAGCAGTGCCTTGGTGTGAGGCATGCGTGCATGTTTATGTTTATCTTGTTTGGATTTACTGATTTTCTTGGATCTGAGTGTATAATTTCAATAAAATGTGGATAAAGTTTGGCTATTATTTCTTCAAAATTTTTTTCTGACACACACCCCCTTTTTTCCTTGAACTGAAATTTCAGGTATGTAAGACCACTTGTTTTTATCCCACAAGTCAGAGGCTCAGCTCATTTTTTCCCAGTCTTTTTTCTTCTTTGAGTCATTATGGATATGTTCTACTGCTATGTCTTCGACTGTACTGATCTTTTCCTCTGTTCTTTCTCATATCTTCCACTTCTCTCTTCATCATGTGCGTGTTTCCCTATACATCCTCAAGCATGGAGAGCACATTAATGTGTGCTAATTCCATCATTTCTATCCTTTCCAGGTCTGCATCTACTGACTGATTTTTCTCCTAGTTACAGATCACATTTTCTTGCTGCTTCATTGTCTAGTAATTTTTTGTTACATGCCAGACTGTGGATTTTCTAATACTGAGTCTGGTACTTTGTCGTATTCCTTTAAAGATCAGACTTTGTTCTGGCAGGTAAGTAAGCTACTGTATTAGTTATCTATGCTGCATGACAAATTACCCCCCAAATTTTAGTGGCTTAAAAAACATTTATGATGAACTGGCCATCCCTATATAGGATCCGAACCCCTGGCCTTGGTGTTATCAGCACCACACTCTCCCGAGTGAGCCACGGGCCGGCCCAGATCACATTTTCTTGCTGCTTCATTGTCTAGTAATTTTTTGTTACATGCCAGACTGTGGATTTTCTAATACTGAGTCTGGTACTTTGTCGTATTCCTTTAAAGATCAGACTTTGTTCTGGCAGGTAAGTAAGCTACTGTATTAGTTATCTATGCTGCATGACAAATTACCCCCCAAATTTTAGTGGCTTAAAAAACATTTATGATCTCATAATTTCTAAGGATCAGAAAACTCAGCTCGGTGACCCTAGCTCAAGGCCTCTCACGAGGAAACAATCAAGCTGTCAGCAGGGGCTGCAGTTATCTTGAGGACAGATTGGGGTAAGATCTGCTTCCAGGCTAATCTACATGGTGGTTGGCAAGTGTCAGAAAATCTGCCTCCAAGCAGACCTCTCCAGAGAGTTGGCTCACAACATGGCAACTGGGTTCCCCCAGAGTGAGTGGATCTAAGAGACAGCAAGAGAGGACACTCAAGTTTTTATAACTTTCTCTTGAAAAAGTTTTCATAACTTTGTCTTGGAACTGACATCCCATCATTTCTGTCATATTCTGTTCATTAGAAGCAAATTATGAAGTCCAACCAACATTCAATAGATTACCCAAGGAGTATCTATCAGGAGGTGAGGATCACTGAGAAGCATTTTAGAGGCTGCCTACCAGTTACCTATGGATCACAATTACTTACAGTCCTTTAGAAGCTTATTTTTAAGTCTTTTAAGGCAGATCTAGGATAGCATTTACCCTAGGGCTATTTAGTTCCACTTTTAGGTATGGCCCTTTAGGGGTCTCTACTGAATGTCCCATCTATTCAAGGAGTTTTCTCCACAGTGGCTGGTGGGAACTCAAATGATTCTCTGCCCTGGGTGGGCTTATGGGAAGTGTCTGATCTTTCCCTGTATCTGCTCCTGGGAAATTGTTCTTGCCCAGTCTTGTGAGGTCTCATTCTATGCATGTACACACTGGCATTCAGGCAAAGACTCAAAGAGGTTCCCGATATGTAGATTTCTGAACCACTTTCTCTATGTAGCTCTCTATGTAGTACTCCTCCCAGGTACTCTGCCCTACAAATTCCAGCAGTCTCATTCTCCCTGAACATTGATTTGTGTCTCCTCAGCTCCCATTGGTTTCTTCTTTCCTGCTCCCTGTGGGTTCATCTTCTGTGCACCACCATGTGGAAATTGCCTCCAGGAAAAGACTGTGGGCCATAGTAGGACTTACACCATTTCTTAACTTTTTTGTTTTGTTTTGTTTTCGTTTTTCTGACCAGTAAGGGGATCACAATCCTGTGCACAGTGTCATCTGCACCACGCTCAGCCAGTGAGGGCACCGGCCATCCCTATATAGGATCCGAACCCGTGGCCTCGGCGCTACCAGCGCCACACTTTCCCAAGTGAGCCACAGGGCCGGCCCTTAACTTTTTTTCAGGGATCACAGTTTTCTACTGCTTTTTGCACAATGTCTAAAAATAATTGTTGCGTATATTTTGTCCAGCTTTTTAGTTATCTGTGATAATCCAGCCTCTGTTATTCCTTCATGGCCAGAAGGAGAATTCCTAGCCAGGGAGTTCTGGAAAAACTAACAGTCCCAATCTTGGGCCCCAGTCCCTAGAGATTCTGGTTCACTAGGATGAGTCCAGGGAATTTGTGTGTTTAAAAACCCTCCACGTGGTCTTTATATGCAATTAGGTTTGAGAAGCACTATACTAACTGATCATGTGGTAAAAAGCTACTAAATGTAGCTTGTAATTATTAGCTTATATCAAATTACCAAAATGAGATTTCTTAAGTTTATAAAGATTTACAAAGTGATGCCTTGTACATTAAACTTCAACTGATAAACACTCCTTAGAGAAACATCTTATTTGCAGTTTATTAATATCTGGCACCTTTATTTTGCTTTTATATATATCTCCAGATCTTTGGGAAAAGTTTGATTAATAGAAAGTATATAAAAAGCATTAAAGCTGTAGGTGGAATACGGAATTCCCTTTGCCTTCCTTTTAAAGTCAGACATAACATTTTGTACATACATGCAAATTTAAAGCCACTAACTTGCAACATTACAAATACAGAGGGAGCACACTTTTACCCTAAACTTTACAAAGAGAAAGTTAAAAAATTCACTTATGAAACACATAGCACAACAGTATCAACTCAGAAAGAAAATGCTCCCAAATTCTATAATATTTTAGGGAAGAGGTACAGCCAAAGCTCCCCATATCACAGTACAGTAGTTTTTAGCCCATTTTTCCTTTGGCTACTCTTCTCCCCTATGTGGAAGTACTCCACCTCAGCCACACTTTCCAAAAGTTGAATAAAGGGCAAAATGAGAGGGCATCTTGAGCACTTCAGACTAACAACCATCTGTCCTGATTCTGGTCTACATTTCCACAATGGCAAGGAAGAACAACTTCTGAAATGTTTAAAATGGATCAGTAATGCCCTTGTGCAAGAATGTTACAAAATGTCCCCCAATGAATCATGCTTCTCTGAAATCATGCCTTCTGCAGAATCAGAGCTGGTCCTATGACATGCTTGGACCACAAGAATGGGACAGAAATGACAGTGTCCAAGTTCCAAGCCTAGGTCTTAAAATGCTTTGCTAACTTCTATTTTCATTCTCATGGAGCTAGAGATACCATGGAGTGAAGGAGCCTGAGAAGAAAAATCTCATGGACAGAACATCCCCGGCATCATGCTGAGCCCAGGCCCAGCCCACACTCTGGGTGAGTGCAGTTGCAGGAGTGAACACAGGCAAAACCAGCAAAGAATTGCTTAGTCAACCCAGAGAAATGTAAAAAATAATAAAATTGCTATTTTAAGCCATTAAGTTTGCAAGTGATTTGCTATGCAGCAGAGGCTGAGACATACCAACTACATACTTAGAGAGGTGTCTTAGTGCATAGGCTCTGAAGCCAGACTGCACAAGTTCCAATCCCAGCTCTACCACTTCTTAATTGTATAAACCCCAGCAAGCTACTTAACCCTTCTGGGCCTCAGTTTACATATGTGAAAAATAGGGATAAGAATAGTACCTAATACACAACAGAGTTGTAAGAATTACATGAGTTAACATTACTGAGCATTCAGTAACAGTGTAGAGCACATAATAAGTATTCAATTGATGTTAGCTATCATAATTGTTAGAGTTTTTCAGAAGGACAACAAAATTTATATTTATAAAATTTATCTCAACTAAGGATATTCACAGTATTTTAGAAAATATATCCTAAATACATCCCTTATGAGGTAGCTATTTGCCCACCTGACCTGTGTGTAAATAATTTTGAAGACAAGGACTTAACTTTCAGATTCTGAGGCCTCCAGGGGTTTCCATGGTCCCAGGCACTTACCTGCATAGGAGATACAGCTGCTGCAGGAGGGGTTTTCATAGGACTTGGACTCAGAGGTGTTCGAGGAATTGTAGCTGCAGCAGGGTTTGGTACTACAAAAATAAACAAGCAAGCAAATAATGAATGCATCACAGTGCAATAAAAGCTTTCCTAATTGGTCTCCACTTACATATTCACCAGATTAACCAGTGCTCTTGAATCCCCCTGGAAACTGTCTTGGCTGATGCTTCACCTATGCTGAACGTACACAGCCATGCCCCAGCACGCAAATGCTTTTCCTCTCACTAGGTGAACTGTTTCCTGAGAACAGTTGTGCTTATTGCCAACACTAGTTACACCATTTAATTTTTACTATTTAGTTACATTATGTGGTTAAAGTGCTACATAAACCAATGAAATCCAAGTACAAAAAAAACCCCAAGACAAGTATTTCTGTAACTGCATCAGGTAAGAAGCTTGGCACATAGTAGATGTTCGATAACCGTGTATTAAATGAAAGAATGGTCAACTCCTGCTCATTCTTCTTCACTTCTACCTACAGAGTTAATCACTTCATTCACATGTATTTCCTGATTTGTATTTAATGCAGGAATGTGTTATTATTTGTCTGCATATTAGTTTCCCTCTCTAGACTGAACTGCTCAAAAGCAGTTTATTTTTTCTAATTAATTATTTCTAGATACTTGGACTTAGCACAGATTCTGGTAAAGGCCACATAAAAATAGTTATTTACTTGAAGCTGAATTAAATTCAAAATGGGACATGCAAATGAACTTAGGCACATCACAGAGCGTAGCAACAGGAAGCAGATCACTGTGAACTCTTCTATGCAGCCAAGTACTTATATTAAGAATCGATACCTTTAGATATATTCTTTTACAATCTACCTATTGCTAGACAGTGAATAACTCACACAAATACAATTTATGACCCTCATTGGAGTTTACAATGTATTCTTTTTTACTTAGATAAAATTCACATAATATAAAGTCAGCCATTTAAAATTGTACAATTCAGTGGCATTTAATAGCCTCACAATATTGTGTGACCATCACCTGTACCTAGTTCCAAATTATTTTCATCACCCTAAAAGGAAATCCAGTACCTGTTAAGCAGTCACTCCCCAGCTACCCCTCCCTGCAGCCCCTGGCAATCACCAACTTGCTTTCTGTCTCTATGGATTGACCAACTGTGCGTAGTTCACATATATAGAATCTACAGCATCTAGCCTGTTGTGTCTGGCTTCTTTCACTTAGCATAGTGTAAAGGTTCATCTGTGTTGTAACATGTATGAATTCTTCATTCCTTCTTAAGACTGACTAATACTGTATAGATATACTACACTTTGTTTAGCCATTCATCCAGTGCATGGACACTTAGGTCGTTTCCACCTCTTGGCTATCGCGAATAGTGCTGCTGTGTACATTCATGTACAAGTACTTGTCTGAATATCTATTTTCAAATATTTTGAATATATAACTAGAAGTGAAATTGCTGGGTCATTTAGATGCATTTTATTACAAAACAACATATTTGCTTTTTAAAAAAAATCAGTATAGAAGCAGATGTGTCTTTCTTTCATTAAAGCCTATTTTATTAATATTTTGAATAGTCGCACAATTTTAATTTAGTGTAGACATCCCACTATCATTTTATTTTAGAAGTATATATTTTTTAAAGATCTCCTTTTGGCCGGCCCGGTGGCGCACTGGATAGTGCGCCGCTTGGGAAGCGCGGCGGCGCTCCCGTCCGAGGGTTCGGATCCCACGTACAGACCGGCTCC